GATTTAAAAAAAATTAATAAAGTGATTCAATAATTAAAAATTAAAAATTTTAAATTTAAATTTTAAGTCAAATAAAAAAAATTTAAAAATAAAAAAAAATTATCTCTTTTAAATTACTCATAATTAGACTTTAAAAAAATCTAAAAATGAAGACAAAACCATCATGTCGTGATTTTTCATTTTTCGAACAGATTCGACAATATCGTGTTTTGAATCTAGTAGTACAAGATTTTTGCCTATTAGCTTTTTACCAAGTCAAAAAGACTTGATCATCAAAGAAAAGTCAAGAACCTTTATCAAAAAAAAAAGAAAAAGAAAAAGGGAAAGTGAAGAAGACTTGGGTTTGGTGAGAATGAGACAGAAAATTAAGCTGGCAGAATATTGGGCCCATCCCAAAAAGTTTAAATTAGTGGCCCAGATCTAATTCGAAAAATTTAAGATTGAATTGGGTACATGAGCCCAGTAGACTACAATCCCAACAATAAGCCCAAATGCCCAACTCAGCTTCCTGAGTAAATCACACTTGGTTTCTACTCTGGCATCCTGGGTCATGCTGCCGGAGGCTGAAAAGTTTCCGGTTAAAAGTGTGGTACCTATTAACCGGAAAACCATGATCTTACAACTTACCTACATAATCGGGAGAAGCGGTCGCTGCAGATGCCGAGTCAAGATGTTGCTACTTCTGTTTGCTTTCTTCTTTTCAAGCATTTTTCAAGCCTCCCTTTAGCCTCTCTTTGGACTGGTGGATTTGGAGGGACAAGGAGGGACAGATCTCTCTTTCAGTGTGTTTGTTTTTCTTCATTAATGGAGAGGGAAGAAGACAGGGGTGGTGGAGTCCCCTCTACTCCTCTCTTTCTCATTCCTTCAAATTAAATGGATTATAAGAGATTTGATTTATATATTTAACAATTTTTTTTAAAATTTTTTAAAAGTACATATATAAAAATATTTTATTTTAATTATTTTTTAATTAATAAATTTTACTTATTTTATTTTACTTTTTTAAAATTATTTAATTAAATAAAAATATTATTATTCTCTTTCATCTACTTTTGTCTACTCAATATTCACATAGAGTTAATATCAACCCTTTTTTTCGTTCCTTTCCCTTTATTAATTTATATCCAAACAGAATGTTAAACTCTCTTAATTTCTTTTTTAAACATTCTACTTCTCAATATTTATTTCTTCTCTTTTAAAATGTATATTTCATACTATAAAATTATTAAAATACTCTTAACTAAACTTTGAATTCATTCCTATGATTTTTCATTGGTAATTTAATAATTTCATTGTTTCGAAGGGATTAAGAAACATTTTGTAAGATTAAACGGATTTGGAGACATATTTTTATTCATGATCAGGGTGTTTTTGTGCCAATATTTACGTACTTTGAAACTGTTCTCTTTCTAGATGATTTGAAAGGTGCATTCTCATATTAAATTGATGCATTTAAATAAATTAATTTCCTTTAGTGCAAGGTATGTGTTACCGGAGGTACAGGTTTATGTTGGCTCTTTGCTTGTCAAGAAGCTGTTAGAGAAAGGATACACTGTCCATGCAACAACGAGGAATTTGAGTGTATCTCTCTCCCTTTCGCTTCTTCCTTCTCTGGTTTCTATCTCTCTATGAATGATTGGAAATTGTTACCCAATTGCAGGTGATGCATCTAAAGTACGCTTCTTAAAGAGCCTTCCTTATGCCGACACAAGATTAGTGTTGTTCCAAGCTGAAATATATAATCCTGATGACTTTGATCATGCAATCATAGGGTGTGAGACTGTTTTGCATCTTGTAACTCCCAAGCGCCACATTGAGAACTCTCAGGTCTTTCACTTTGGATTGTTCTGTTTAAACATCATGCAAGTAGCTTTTCCATGACTATCCTAACCTTATATTATTATTTTGAACTATTATCAGTTCAAAAACATAACTGACGCTGCGTTAGCAGCGGTAAAAAGCGCTGCAACTTCTAGTATTCAATCAGGTACAGTGAAACGCCTAATATACACTTCCTCTTTAAGTGCCGCATACCCTGTGAAGATTGACGGGTGTGGTTTCAAGGATTTTGTGGATGAAACTTGTTGGACACCTCCTAACCTTTCGTTTCCTTTTCCTGATGATAATTACAAGGTATAACCTTCTGAGCTTCCCTTCCTGGTGTTTTTTTTTACCATCCACATATTCCTTGTGTGTTTCTTTTGTTTTTCTCCATTTTCATTGTCAAGGTGTTCCTTCAACACCCTTGTGAGTATTCAACAAATAGTTTATATACCTCACTCCTCACTCGGATTGTTATTACATACAGAGATTACCAGAGGGCTTGAAGAGACAACTTGGAACTATGCATCGAAACGAAGAGGAAATTTTGTTTAAATTGAAATGCACTTAATCAAAATAGTCCTTCCCCTATTTTTTGGATATCTGCCAGTCATCGTCTTTGTTTCTTAACATGATATGAGTTTCCTCTTCGTTCATTGAGAGTGAATAGTAGTGATAAAAAGTGAAACCGTGGAATACCTAGATTTAATTTTAACCATTATGTAATGCAAATATTGTAGGATCACGTAAATTCAAAGACTTCAGTAGAGAAGGAAATCTTGAGCTATGATGGCAAATTGGATGTGGTTACACTGACTTGTGGACTTCCTGGTGGAGAGACCATTCTAAATCATGCCCCTGGAAACATGTGGGTATGCATTTCACAGTTTACAGACAGGAAAGAAGCTTATAATGCCCTGAAGTTTGTGGAGGATTTTCTTGGAATTATCCCAGTTGTACATGTTGATGATGCATGCGAAGCTCATATATTCTGCATGGAGAATCCTTCAATTAGTGGTAGATTCTTTTGTCCAAGCGGATACGTTTCAACAGCTGATATTGCCAACTACTTTCAAAAGAACTATCCATAGTATCAAGTGAAACAAGGGTAAGCAGTTGAATCCTTTTATTAAGAATCTGAGGCCCCGTCTATTATTTTGGTTAAATTTTCTCGTGAATTTATTTGTGATCCTTGATAGAATCAGATAAGGCTCCTGAGGGTTTCCAATTTCTTAATTCAGATATTTGGATGGACCAAATAGAGAAGTTAACTGGGACTTCACAAAGCTCATAAAGAAGGGTTTTGAGTATAAATATGACACCAAAACAATATTAGACGAATGTATCAGGTGTGCCAGAAGAATGGGTGGTCTCCCACAATGATTAGTGTCTCCTGTAGTTCCTGCAAGGCTCTATCCAATCAAACCTGTAATGTGTCTTTGCTGTTGCTGCTGCTTCTATTGTTGTTGTTGGTGTCGTCTATGTCCTACTTGATTTCAATTGTCTGTTGCACTCTATTAAGCAAGGTTGATTGCACGCTTTATTATAAGATCGAAGAATAAGGCAATGACCTTACTCTCTGTAAAATTTGTACAATTTGCGTCCATGTAATATGATTTGCTACCTGATATACCTTTGAAATTTGTTTGAATGTCAATTTAGGTTTATCTCATTGTCATTTTCTGAGCTTAATGTGTGTATAAAAAAGTATTCTACAGTGATCATGTTTGTTGATTGAGTAGCACCTTTGGACAATAAGTAGTGGTTCTTGTCCTGCTATACAGGAATTTTGCCTTAAATTTATAGTCGCTGATTTTGTTTATTTTTTGTTTTATAAAGTTTTAAGTAATTGGAGCATTATTCCTTGGCAAAAAAATTCTGCAAACATCATTTTAGTTAAGTCAAAATGTTGCGTATCAAGAAAGTGTTGTTCATGTTGGATTGTATATTAAAAGTATAGTTTGATTGTGGAAATTATTAAAATACTTTTAATGAAGTTTTTTTTTATATTTATTCATTAAGTTTAACTTAGCAATTTTAGTATTAAAACTATATTTTTAATATACAATCTGAACTGAAATACATGAAACTCTTTTGCAAATAAGAAAATGGATTTATTAATAGTCAAAGGCCTTATTATTTTTTCTTTTGTACCAAACCCTCTAGTATCTGAAAACTATATTGTTCCCAATTAATCCAAAGTCAAGTTAGATTAAGCCCTATAAAAGAGAAGTTCTCATAACACATATCTTTCTCTTTACAATATTTAAATTCAAAATTTTATTTAAAGAAAATTGAGAACTTTTCATTCATACCAATTAGTTGTTAGTTAAAAGTCCTATTCATTGTGTAAGGCATGAGCTTTTCGTTTTTTTTTTTTGCTTTTGAATTAAATTCATGGACTTTGGTTTACCTTGTTGATAAAACAATAATTTTAATTTGAATTCACTTAGTATTCAGTCTTTTTCTAATAATGAGAAATAGTAAATAGATAATTACTATTTGAGTTTAAAGAAAAAAGATCTCTAGATAACATCATAATTTAAAATTAAATTTTGAAAAATAAAGATTAAGTTTTGTTAGTGAAAAGAATAGTTATTTAGACAATAATAAAATTTTAGTTCCCTTTCAATTGTTGATTCTTCCTCCATTTTGAATCATAACAAAATTTAATAAATAGTACACCATCCATTTATTTTTTAGTAAACTAAATTTGATTTTTTTATTTTTAAGATATAAATTTTGAATGAAAATTTAATAATCTATATGAATAACAATTGAAATTTTTGTATCCCTATATATAATTCTTGCTAAGTATTTTTATTTAATTAATTTTTTTAATTATTATTTATATAAATTATTAAATTTTTATTAAAAATTTATGTTTTAAAAATTAAAAAATAAATTAAATCTATTAAAAATAAGCTACAGAGTATTGATGTATCCATCTCAGGCTCTGCTATGGGTTGTGGAATCATTGAGTAACAAAGTCTAGCAATTGTTAAGGCAAAACGATTTACTTGGAACCTAAGGAGGCCAAAATTTGGGAAAATTCATTTCCGATCCTATCTTGCCTTTTTTTCGTGCTAACTTCCGCATCTGGAAGATATATTGAGTTTTAAATTAAACTTTTTTAGTACTTATTTTTTTCATTTATAAGATTCAATATCAAAATATTCTTTAAAATGATTGAAAACCTTTGCATTTAAACCAATAATTCATAAGTAACTATTGCCAAAAGTAGAATAAGGACACTTCCTAGTTCCTACACGTCTTTTCCTTTTTGTCATGCTCGCACCAAATCATAGACAAAATTTCCAAAAGAGTATCGGAAAGATCAACACAAAATCTTGAAACCATAAAAAACTTATTTTTAATCTTTTACTTTGTCAAGTTTAAAGGTTTCAGTATCTTATCTTATATTATGATACTTTTACCCTACCACTTTACTAGATTTATAGGTTTTAGCTCCTCACATATTAAAATCAAAGAAATAGTCTCATTTTATAATAACTGTTAATTCTATTAACTAGAAGTATATTTTTATCAATTAATAGTTAATTAACAAAATTAATAAAATATTATAAAAATAGACATTTACCTCTCTTGACAAACCTAAAACAAAAGTGTGGTATTATAGGAATAATTTTTTTATACAACTTTTTTATTCAATTTTCACATATCATTTAATGAGTAGATACATTGAAATATTATGGATCTCACATGAATTAAAAAAATCAATCATTTAAATGACACATAAGATTGTAAAAAAAAAATAATAATAAAAAACTTATACAAAAATCATTTCCCAAAACAAAATTCAGCCACCTAACTAATGGAAAATTCTGATGTCCAGCAGACAGGTGTACATTGCTATCTTCTCTAAAGATTATGTTTTCTGCTTCTTCTTTTTTCTTGCCCTTTAAGAAAGTGTCATGCATTTCTAATGCTTAAACTGTATAACTAAAGTTATTCGGATGGCGGCAACCGAAAATGACGTGTTTACGACTCACTATTTATTATTAAGAGAAGTAGTCGAGAGAGAAGTTTGTGTCAAATTCGACTGAGAAATCCAGGTCTTCAATTGGTGAATTGGTCACCGAAGCCGCTCCGGAAACTGTCTGTGTAAGATCATATTTCGAAGTCTGTCCTATTCCGAAGCTGCCCCTGCGGCACGGCCACATTGAAAAATAATTGGATTCAGAGGTCGCCGGAGATATAAACGAAGGGGAAAACCTTCCCATTTTGTTATATTCCACCATGGATTCCGAGTAAATATTGTTTCTCCCTTCCTCCGATTCCACTGAAGCATAAGGCAAAGAAAACAGCCGAAACATTTCATCCTTTGAGTCCCAACTCCTCTGTCTTAACTTTAGTCCCTGTTCCATTTCCCAACCCCACCTCCTCTGATTGCTTTGGTTTCTCTTTGGATGCGGCTTCAACAGTGGCCGCCCCAGTCGCCAAATGTGAAGATTGTTTACATGCATTTGTTCCCACATATCTGACCTCAAAGATTGTCTGGTCATTGTCTGATGTCTGAAACCTGCTTAGTGGCCAAACATCCCTGAGAGTAACGGTGGGTGCACCTATAATATCCCCTGCAATTTTCATTTACGAACACTAAAATCCAAGAATAAGAAAATCGCACAACGCCCACAAGATGAAAAATGATTGAACCTGAACACTGTTTCATGGTCCTACCAAAATTCAGCTTTTCGAAAACTTTTATTGCCTTGTCTGGGGTTAGTGGGGATAACAGGTTTATCATTATTGTACATATTTCTCATCTAACCACTCATCTTAGAAGCGGCCATTGCTTGTTCTTTATGGATAAACTCTGACATGATTGATTTTGTGAAAATTAAGCATTTGTTTGACTTGCGGGATTTAGAGGAGAAGGGAAGGAGAATGAGAGAAAGATGTGTTCTTTTTCATTTTTGGATTTTTTTCATTAATGAAGGAGGAGGGATATGGATGGAGGGGTGATGGAGCACCCTCCATTTTGTTTTCCTCAAATTCAAGGAATTGCGAAGGATTTATTCTACAACTTTAACTCTTTTTTTTTTTTTTGCATAAAAATTCTCTTTGTAATTTTTCAAAAAATAAATATATAAAAATATTTTAATTATTTTTAATTAATAAATT